TTTGAACCACCGCCGCCGACAGCAGGCGCAGGTGACGACGAGTCGGATGCTACGGCCACCGGCGCTGTGGTTTATGTGGACCTCGAAAGCATCCTTCGCAACAGTTCCGAGGTCACGGACCCCCTGGTGGTAATTGTCCAGTCTATTGAGTCTCGTCTTCATCCTCTGGTCGACTGGGCTCAGCGCATTCCAGCCTTCGCGGACTGCCTCAGCGCGGAAGATCAGCTCTGTCTCCTCAAGTCGGGTTCGTCTCCTGTCTCTTTCTCTCTGGCTGATGGTGGCTCCAGTTACTTGGTTGCCGAGGGGGGGCCTCTCACGGCTGTCTGGTTTTTTCTCCTCAGGGACTCTTCTGGTTTTTGTTTGACGAGGGTGACAGCTATGGGCAGATAGCATTGCCGACGAAGACAAACGAGACTAGAATGGCCATTTCTGGCTCATTAGTCGTCGTCAACCAGTTATATGCAGACCCCCAAGTGGCGCACTACCCGAGGCTCGAACTTGCGATCAGAGTCTAAGGCTCCAATGCTATCTGCCTTGGCTACTGTGTGTGTGTTTGACCCTCAATTTCGATGAAGTCCACCAAGTGCACGAACAGGTTAGTACAGAAGGTGACGGTCTCAGGCGTTAACTTTAAAGTGATAGAGGACGTAGTTAGCGGCTCCGCACTATTCACCTCCCGGAGTCTCGAAGACTAAACGGGGTTCGGCGTGGGCTGCTGTATCAAATGCAAGTCAATACACCGCCTGACTTAGTCTTAAGTGACAGTAAACTTTGCGCGGGTACTACTGTACTATCTACCCTCACTCACCTATAGTAGGTGTCTAGCCAGACTTTAGTAAACCCGGACTAGTACTGCTACTTCTAATGCTACTTACTAGGGTGTAGCTTAATAATAGTACTTGTTGGTACTAGTACTGACTGTTTTGTAAGTCAGAAGTGACGCTGATTAAAGTCAGCACTGGCTCATATCCCCTAAATCTCGGAAAGAAGCGTAGTAGTACTGGTGCTGGCACTGACGCCACCATTTGTCAGAGGTGACGCTGAATAAGCCGACGCTAGGGCTCATATCCCCTTGGTCTCAATAAGGAGTGTGACTCTGGGTTTGGCTATTTCGGGTTAGTACATGATTGGGGTCCTGAGCACAGCAGCGTTTGCCCTGGTTTCCGCACTCTCAACTCTATCCATCGAGCTGTATGAACTAAGGTTTTGCCGCTATAGGTACGTGCCTATGCTTAAAGTGCTAATTTCTAGTAATCATGCTTA